ATTGAGGATATACAAGAACTGAGGAGCTTGAATGAGGAAGAGACACACAAAAAAACCTCTCTACTGCTAGAATTTGAGGAAAATGCTCGGAAGGAGGAGATAGCTTGGAGGCAACGGTCCAGGGCCTTATGGTTGAAAGAAGGTGACAGAAATACTAAGTTCTTTCACAGAACTGCAAATGCCCATAAAAGATATAACAATATTGACAAGCTACAAGTCAACGGGGAAACTGTGGAGAATTCTGAAGATATCACGAGGAAGATAATCTCTTTCTACCAAAAATTATACACAGAAGCTGAGGAGTGGAGACCACAATGCAGCCTAAGGGACTGCCAAACTATTAGCTCAGAGGATAATCAGATGTTATTGAGCCTCCTGAAATCTGGGAGAATGTCAAAGCATGTGTAGGGGACAAAGCTCCTGGTCCAGATGGGTATACTATGGCTTTCTACATTCAATGCTGGGAAGTGATTAGTCAAGATGTGATAGCTGCAGTCCAGAATTTTCAAGTTACTGGGGTCTTTGAAAAAAGTTTCAATGCTACTTTGGTGGCTTTGATTCCTAAGAAAGTTGGAGCTAAAGAACTGAAAGATTTCAGACCTATCAGTCTGATAAGTAGTGTCTACAAAATAATCTCAAAAATCCAAACAGAAAGAATCAAGAAAGTAATGGGCAAGTTGGTGGACAATCAACAGATGACCTTCATCAAAGGTAGACAAATAATGGATGCTATTTTCATTGCAAATGAGAGTGTAGATGCTAGAATGAAGAGCAAAGAACCTGGTATCCTGTGCAAGCTGGACATAGAAAAGGCATATGATCACCTTAACTGGAATTTTTTGTTGGGAATACTTTCGAAGATGGGCTTTGATGAAAGATGGATTAGTTGGATCAAATTCTGCATTAGTACTGTCAAATTCTCTATCTTAGTCAATGGTTCACCTGTTGGTTTCTTTTCCTCTCAGAGAGGCTTGAGACAGGGAGACCCAATCTCCCCTTTTCTATATATTCTGGCTATGGAAGGTTTAAACAATCTGTTTAAAACTGCCAAAGCAAATTATAGGATCAAGGGGTTCAGGGTAAACTCTAGGGAGCCAACCAACTTGGAAATCACCCATCTACAATATGCAGATGATACTTTGGTGTTTTGTGATGCTAGCAGCGAACAATTGCTTTTCCTGAGAATGGTATTCATTCTTTTTGAAGCTATATTTGGACTACACATTAACTGGAACAAGAGTTTCATCTATCCAGTTAATGAAGTAATGGAGATGCATAGTTTGGCTAGAATACTGGGGGGAAGATAGGAGCTCTACCAACAGTGTACCTGGGAATGCCACTTGGAGCAAAAAGCAAGTCAAAAGGAATATGGAATGGAGTAATTGAGAAATGTGAAAAGAAACTTGTTAGTTGGAAGAGCCAATACCTATCTTTGGGAGGTAGACTAATCCTCATCAATAGTGTTTTGGATGTCATGCCTACTTACATGATGTCTTTATTTCCAGTTCCGACCAGTGTAGTTAAAAGAATAGATGCACTGAGAAGAAACTTTCTATGGCAAGACACCAGTGATAAGAGTAAGTTTCATCTGATCAGGTGAGAAGTACTTATTACCAGCAAGAAAGAAGGGGGAATGGGGATCAAAAATTTGAAAACTCAGAATCAAGTATTGATGATGAAGTGGTTATGGAGGTTTGCCACAACAAAGCAATCTTTATGAAAGAAGGTAATTCAAGAAAGGTATGGGATGGAAGGTAGTTGGACAACAAAAACAGTTTGTACTCCTTATGGGGTGAGTCTGTGGAGGTGTATCAGAAACACATGGCCAAGATTCAGAAACAATTTCAGTCTCAGAGTTGGAAATGGAATGAAAACATCCTTCCGGGAAGATAAATGGCTTGGACAGAGAACTTTAAAGCAACTATTCACGGACATCTACAATCTGAATCAGCAACAAAGAGCTTATGTTGGAGAACTTTGGACAGGTCAAGGATGGAATCTTACATTTAGAAGATTTCTATATGACTGGGAAATTGAGAGGCTGACAGATTTCTATGATACTCTGGAACAGTTTAGAGGGACCACCAACAATGAAGATAGGTTGTTCTGGCAAGGGAGGATAGGAGGAATTTTCTCTGTTAGATCAACTTACAAGGAGTACAACCATTCTAATAATCAGATTGGTTGTTGGCCTTGGAAAATGATCTGGAAAGTTAAAATACCTTACAAAGTATCATGTTTTGTCTGGCTTCTAGCAAGAGAAGTTGTCCTAACCCAAGATAATCTCACTAAGAGAGGATATCAGTTGGGGTCCAAATGTTACTTATGTAAAGCTCAGGAGGAGACAATCAATCATCTTTTCTTGCACTGCAGTGTCACAGATCAAATTTGGTAGATATTCATCAACCTGAGGGGAATTAAATGGGTTATGCCAGGGAGAATCAGGGAAGTCCTAACAAGTTGGAAAAGAGATGGAATGCAGTCTGGCCAGAAGGAGAGATGGAAGATTGTCCCTCCATGTATATGGTGGACAATTTGGAAAGAAAGGAACCTAAGATGTGTTGAAGATACACATAGTTCAATACAAAAGTTGAAAATGAGCTGTCTCACGCTCTTTTATTTTTGGTGTAAACAAGAGTGCTTAGAAGAGAGTGAAAGTATTTTTTGATGTTTTAGACCTCTTATGAGCTTTATAGAGACTTAGTTTGGCTCTCTTTGTACTCCCTTTTGTAATTGTGGATGACGACACTGAATTAGTGTAGTCATGTTTATATCTAATACAAATGTTACCAATTTCAAAAAAAAAAGTCAATGGAAAAAACAATTAACCGCACAACTTAAACCCAAAAGATAAGTAAGAAACAATCGTCTTTCTTCTTAAAAGAAATTTAAGTTTGAAACATTTCTTTCTACTTTCATCCCCTGTTGTATGACTTCGTTGAATTCTCTGTACTACATTACTAACATAAACAACGCTTCCGTTTTTCCAGTTTAATAAGACTCAAAATTTATTTCAACACTAACTAGAAAAAACATGAAAAGGATAAAACAAACTACCTAAATTACATACATATTTAGGAATATGACTTTTATTAATACGTAGAAAAGATCGTTACTAGGTACAGACCAGCAGCTTCTTTGTATTTCCTTCAGTCAGAGAAGTTAAACTCTTTGGCCTTCCAAGTTTCAACACTTCAACATAGCAGAACAAGCTCCAAAAAATATAGATTACAAACTAGACTAGTCAAAGTCCCCAAATGATACTTTTATAAAACAATTACAAAGAGCTAATGATATTGTAGACAACTAACAATTCATTGCCTATCTGTCAATCAATGAATTTCTTTAATAGGAAACAATTGACAATTTGAAACCAACTTAAGAAATCTAATTCGGTCAAAGTTGATCACCACCGCTCAAAATGAAAAAGTTAATCACCAAACCAAATTAATTCGATAAGTTAAAGGCACAAAATCTTCTATATCACAGATATCTAAACAGAAAAAATTAACAAAACATGCATATCCAAAGACAGATAACCTTGATCAGATCAGGCTACAAAGAAGGGGCACAAAAGAAGGGATTTACAGGAGAAACATGCCAAGAAACTTCCTCGACTCATTCATGATAGAAAACGCCATTGTTACCATCCCTCATCATGTGATTAAAACTCTATGGGTGATATTAGCATTATGTGCTCATTCCCAGAAAGTGACGGACGTCACTGGTGAAAATATGGAACAAAGAATACTCGAGAAGCATATTGCCCAGAATTCTGAGTGACATAAACATGGAAGTTACACTTTTTTGGCATTCAAAAACGGGAGCTACATCCGATGAAAGGTGCCTCAGAAAGGCTTCATCATTTTGCTGCTGGAAAACACACGATTTCCACACCAAACAATGCATCCACAACTACTCACAGTCTCACACATTTGCTGGACACACAAGAGTTGCAAATAGGAAACAATGATGTAATGTGGAGAACATATCCTATGCGTACAAGGAGGGCCACACCAAAACATGCGTGCGACTACAAGGTACCAGAACTGGTATTTGATTTTAACTATATGCAGCGAGGTTTCTTGATATCACTACTACAATGCTGGATTTTACTAGAGCAAAAATGGGATTACATCAAGCGACGAGGAATGCTCGTTCCCTACTGGGCAGTGTGGATATTTGATGCTTTTTCTGCATTCATGGGGCTAGTTTCTACTCACCACTTACGTAGATTGCTTTGCCATCTCTCAACTAGTTCAAAATGTACTACCATAGTGGAGTATATTTTACTCAATTATGGTACTAGGGGCTATGTATTCAACATAGATTATGTCTCTACATCTTTTAACACACTACATTACTCTGGTTTGTTTTCTGATTTTGATTTAGATATATATAAAAACTAGCCCTAGGCATTTGCCTAATGGATTGCTAAAAAAAAAGACAGATAACCAAAAACTCATATAGATAATCAGTATGACTAAAATCACCAGTGACACAAAAGAAATATAAAAATAAAATGGATGAAGCTATAATATAATAACCTTTCCGCTGATGATAAGACAATAAAATGACTCATAATTAAAACTAACTTGATATCAAAGATAAAAAAATCACCGATGATAAGCCAGCAATCTTTGGCCTTGTTGTGCTTAGGAACATCCTCAAACACTGAATTTAACCAATCTGACTTCATATTTTCCTACTACTGCACAAAAAACCACTCCAGTAATGATACATAGAAGTAGGAACCATTAAAATAAAATCAGATAAGGTTCTGCAAAAACCTTACTACTCTGCAGGCTGATGTAAGGATCAATGTGTCTTCAATGTTGATGCTTAGTAACATCCTTTCTCAATAAATCAAAATTATCTATATCTCTTCTATCACAAATCCTAAATTGAACAAAACACCAATTTATAATAGCGAAAACCTCTGGAATCAACAAAATTGAAACCAAGTAAAATTGACCTTCAATTAAGCACAACACACACACAGAGAAAGAGAGAGAGAGAGAGAGACCGAGCAGTAATTGAAGAGGGAGAGCAACAAGGCGATGGTAGCGGAGAGTCCGGTGTCGTGCTCATTTTGCACTTTGGGGCTTAGGGTTCTCTGAATAGGGCAAAGAAAACGAACTGAGATCTTAGCGGTGATTGTTGGCGCTTTTTTGTTTCGGAAAATTCTGCCAAATTTGTAGTAGCATTAACGACCGGATATCTTAATTTTAGTGGACCGGATATTTTCCTTTTGTTATTGTCGAATTTAGAATCGTCTTTAACCACCGAAAATACTTTTGGTCATTATAAATATGCCTCTAACGACCGGATTCACATCCCTTCGTAAGAAGTGGTCACTAAAAGATAAATTTCTTGTAGTTGTGGAACACAGGGAGGGGCAGCGACAAACATCCGAGAGTTATTAGAGTGAGACAGTGAATCATTTTACCTCGAAATTTGAGGTTGTTAGCGTATTACGCATCTTTGCCCCGAAAATGGTGGTTTCTCTATTTTTTATGGTCATTGTTGTTTGTTTCTTCCCCTCTCATATTTGTTTTGTCTAAGGTGCTGACATCTTCTCCAATCCATTTTTAAGAGTATGTTTATTGGAATATAATAGCATCTCTGGGTGATCTTGTTTCCTATAGTATTGACCTGTTATTTGCTTTCAAGTTTAGAGATATGCTTTCCTATTCATATCACTTTATTCTATTAAAGTCCTGTTTGAACTTTAAAAAGATGGTCCAATGATTCTAAACATATATGCCTTTAACCTATGTAACAAGTTCTTCTCATGCATAGACAAACAATTTCCAAAGAAGTCAATAAGTCAAGTGAAAGGCTTGGACACCAGAAGTTTAAGATAATATTTGTTGAATTAGACTTCTTCTCCGTGGCTACGACTTACTTTTAAAATTCTCTATGAATTTCAGGGTAAAAAGTTTCTCAAAACTTGTAGCGGAGGCACTTTTGGACTTTTACAGCGTATTGGGAAAAATTGAGTTTACATATCGAAGTGATTGAAAGATGACGTGTCATGACACGAAGGCCGGTCAAAGAATGATGATTAGCAAAGAGGCACGAGTTGCAACAGATACGAGCAGACGCACAAGTAGAGGCACGAGCAGTTACTCAAAAGACTCGACGCTCATACCTATTTAGATCCGCAAATTAAGGAGAATGAATCTGACAGCACAAGAGAGTACAAATGCAGTATTTAATAAGCATTAAATACTAAAAACGTTAAAGAATTTGTATTAAATTACAATAATTATGTAACGTAACATTTAATGCCTTTAATTATCTATAATGGCCTGATTACGACAAAGGCAAAATGTATAGATAGCTATAAAAAGGAGAAAACTGGTCATTTGTAAGGACACGAGAAATCTTCTTAATATACTGGTTCACTTTGTTTTCCTCTATTTATCTTATTGTAAGCAAAATCAATTTCCCTTATTCATTTCTGATTATCAGTAACCCGAGTTCTTCTAAATTAATGCTTTGACCGAAGTTCTACTTTTTGGTTAAACAAATTGGTTCTGTTACCGGGAATCTGATAATCTATTCTTTCTTAGCCTAACCTTTTTTGTTGCATCAACCATGTCAAACATTAATGACAACACCCAAGGAAACCAACAACTCCAGGGGAATCCACAGGATGATCACACCCCGATCCCTTCTCCACAAAGCTCCCCTCGGCGGTCTCGAGAAGGCACTCCTGATGGATCTCATGCAAATGGAAACACTCAATTTGAAAATGATGAAGTTGTCAATGAAGCTTTGCAAAAGTTAAACGCTCAACAGGTCAATAAAGCTCTTGAGGCCTTTGTCAGCCAGTTACCTGTTGCACCACCCACACCTACTCCAAATAACAACACTTTGGAGAAGCCTCGTTCTAGGCTTGCTAATTCAGGCAGTGGTGGAATCCCCAGCGAGTCACGAGAAGGAGAACCAAGTAACTTAGTCAATTCTGATTTACAAAATTTAGTACTAACATTGCAGAAACAGCTCAAGGAGCAAAGTGACAGCATAGAGCAAATACCTGGAGTACGACCCGTAATCAAAAGGATAGATATGGATAAATATTCACAACAACCTTGGAAGCCAAGTGTTGCTCCCCTCCCAATTCCAAAGAAATTCAAAATGCCCGATATTCCAAAATACGATGGAACAACTGATCCACAAAACCACGTGACTGCATTCACAACAGGCGTAAAAGGCAACGACTTGACCAAACAGGAAATTGAATCAGTATTGGTCAAAAAATTCGGTGAAAAACTCACTAAGGGAGCATTAATATGGTATTCTCTTTTACCCAAAAATTCCATAAATTCTTTTGCTCAGCTTACAGATTCATTTATCAAAGCACACTCGGGAGCTCAAAAAGTCGAAAAAAGAATGAAAGATATTTTCAAAATCAAGCAAGGGGACTCAGAGTTGCTTAGAGAGTTCGTGGATAGGTTCTAGCGTGAAAGAATAACGTTACCGCGTGTACCTAACAATTGGGCAGCTATAGTCTTCACTAGTAATTTGAATGAAAAAAGCTCAGAAGCCACGAGGCGACTCAAGGAAAGTCTTCGTGAATTCCCAGCCACAACATGGAATGACGTTTACAATAGGTATAACACGAAGCTAAGGATAGAAGAGGATATTATCTCACGATCTCAAAAAGAAGAAAAAGTAAGTTCGAGACGGGCGGAAACTGAAAAAAGGTCTGGTAAAAATAGGTACGAACCATATATGGGCCCAGCGAAAAAATATTCACGGTCAAAACAGGACAATACAAAGTACAATCATAGGTCGAGGAATAGAGAGTCAGGCTCGTTATCAAGATTTGGGAATGATCGAAACACGCGAGAGTCACGGGATGATGATAGAAACTTGAAGAAAAGATTTGGCAGTTATAATTTTAATGTAAGCACTTTCGAGCTCGTAGCTGTTTTAAGAAGCATGGGTGATAAGGTGCGGTGGACAAAAGAAATGAGATTGAATCCAAACAGGCGCAATCCTGATCACCGGTGCGAATTTCACAATGATCACAGGCATAAAACGGCAGACTGTAGGTTGTTACAAGGTGAAGTTGATCATCTATTAAAGCAAGGGTATCTCACTGAATTATTCAGTGAGAAAGGTAAGCAAGCACACATGAAGAATAGGCAGGAACCCACTAAACCACCTTCTCCCAAAAGGACCGTTAATGTTATAAGCGAAGGTGAAGACATCAATGGTGTGACGTACACAACAGCCAATAAACTTTCCAAAATCACAATTACCCACGGGAAGCGGGTGCGACATGTCTTAGAGGAAGAAAGTATTACGTTTGATGATGCAGATGCAGATGACATATTATGTCCACATAACGATGCACTGGTAATATCTCTACTTGTAAATGATACTAATGTAAAACGGGTTTTGATTGATCCAGGTAGTTCCGTGAACATTATTCTGCTAAGAGTACTACGCGAGATGCAAGTTGAAGATAAATTAATACCAAAGGTGCATACTTTGTCTGGATTTGACAATTCCAGTATCGTGACGAAAGAGGAGATAATACTTACTACATTCGCAGAAGGAGTTGTCAAAGATATAAAGTTTCAGGTGGTAGATATGGAGATGGCTTACAATATGATTCTCGGAAGACCATGGATCCATGAGATGGAGGCCGTTCCATCGACCTTACACCAAGTAATTAAATTTCCATTACCATAGGGAATATGTCAAATCCGTGGGGATCAACAGACATCCAGGAGCATCAACTCTATACCAGATTCAAGCACGAGAGGCAAAGAAAAATAGCAGTTACAGAATCCAGTTGAGGGTACCACAACACAAACCTCAACTGAACAAGGGCGAACAGAAGTGGACTCAAGGCCTGATGCCATTCAAGAACCAGAGGAAAACGATAATATAAAAACAACAATTGAAGAACTGGAGGCTGTAGTATTATCCACACAATGGCCTGAAAGGAAAGTCTTCGTAGGGGCCAATCTAAGCCAGAACATGAAAGGTAAGATGATTGAAGTTTTGAAAACTACCTTGAAAGGGGACTCAGAGTTGCTTAGAGAGTTCGTGGATAGGTTCCAGCGTGAAAGAATGACGTTACCGCGTGTACCTAACAATTGGGCAGCTATAGTCTTCACTAGTAATTTGAATGAAAAAAGCTCAGAAGCCACGAGGCGACTCAAGGAAAGTCTTCGTGAATTCCCAGCCACAACTTGGAATGACGTTTACAACAGGTATAGCACGAAGCTAAGGATAGAAGAGGATATTATCTCACGATCTCAAAAAGAAGAAAAGGTAAGTTCGAGACGGGCGAAATTGGAAAAAGGTCTGGTAAAAATAGGTACGAACCATATATGGGCCAAGCGGAAAAAGATTCACGGTCAAAATAGGACAAACCAAGGTACAATCATAGGTCGAGGAATAGAGAGTCAGGCTCGTTATCAAGATTTGGGAATGATCGAAACATGCGAGAGTCACGGGATGATGATAGAAACTTGAAGGAAAGATTTGACAGTTATAATTTTAATGTAAGCACTTCCGAGCTCGTAGCTATTTTAAGAAGCATGGGTGATAAGGTGCGGTAGACAAAAGAAATGAGATTGAATCCAAACAGGCGCAATCCTGATCACTGGTGCGAATTTCACAATGATCACAGGCATAAAATGGCAGACTGTAGGTTGTTACAAGGTGAAGTTGATCATCTATTAAAGCAAGGGTATCTCACCGAATTATTCAGTGAGAAAAGTAAGCAAGCATACATGAAGAATAGGCAAGAGCCCCCTAAACCACCTTCTCCCAAAAGGACCGTTAATGTTATAAGCAAAGGTGAAGACATCAATGGTGTGACGTACACATCAGCCAATAAAGTTTCCAAAATCACAATTACCCACGGGAAGCGGGTACGACATGTCTTAGAGGAAGAAAGTATTACGTTTGATGATGCAGATGCAGATGGCGTATTATGTCCACATAACGATGCACTGGTAATATCTCTACTTGTACATGATACTAATGTAAAACGGGTTTTGATTGATCCAGGTAGTTCCGTGAACATTATTTTGCTAAGAGTACTACGCGAGATGCAAGTTGAAGATAAATTAATACCAAAGGTGCATACTTTGTCTGGATTTGACAATTCCAGCATCGTGACAAAAGAGGAGGTAATACTTACTCCATTCGTAGAAGGAGTTGTCAAAGATACAAAGTTTCAGGTGGTAGATATGGAGATGGCTTACAATATGATTCTCGGAAGACCATGGATCCATGAGATGGAGGCCGTTCCATCGACCTTACACCAAGTAATTAAATTTCCATCACCATGGGGAATATGTCAAATCCGTGGGGATCAACAAATATCCAGGAGCATCAACTCTATAGCAGATTTAAGCACGAGAGGCAAAGAAAAATAGCAGTTACAGAATCCAGTTGAGGGTACCACAACACAAACCTCAACTGAACAAGAGAGAACAGAAGTGGACTCAAGGCCTAATGCCATTCAAGAACCAGAGGAAAACGATAATATCAAAACAATAATTGAAGAACTGGAGGCTGTAGTATTATCCACACAATGGCCTGAAAGGAAAGTCTTCGTAGGGGCCAATCTAAGCCAGGACATGAAAGGTAAGATGATTGAATTTTTAAAAGGCTGTAGTATCAAATCCGCTGTTGCTCGCAAAATCAAAAGTTGGGGAAAGATTGCTCATCTACCTTGCTGTCTCCGAAGTAGCGGTAAGTGTTGTGTTAGTTCGTGAAGATTAAGGTAAACAATTTTCGATTTACTATGTCAACAAATCTTTATTAGATGCGAAGATGCGGTATCCTCAATTAGAAAAGCTTGCACTTGCACTAATCATGCCATCTAGAAAATTAAGGCCTTATTTTTAATCTCACCCCATTGCTGTATTAACTGCTTATCTATTACGCAATATATTACACAAGCATGAGTTGTCAGGTAGGTTAGCCAAATGGGGTATAGAATTAAGTGAATATGACATCACATACCAGCCTAGAACCGCGGTAAAATCTCAAGTGTTAGCAGATTTTGTGGCTGATTTTAGCCAAGGAATGCAATTGGAAGCAGAAAAAGAATTACAGGTGTTCAACGGATCTAATACGAGAATTTGGACCTTATTTACTGATGGTTCATCTATGTGAAGGGTGCAAGCTTGGGAATTGTTTTGGTACCACCTACGGGTGAAACCATTCGACAAGCCACTAAATGTCATTCTATAACTAACAACGAGGCAGAGTATGAAGCTGTGATTGTAGGTTTAGAACTAGCACGAGAACTCGGCATCAATCAGATTGTAATCA